GCTCTTTACAGACACATTGGAATATTAGCCTCCTTATTTTCATATATGCCAGGGTTGGCATGGCTCAGGAGTGGTATGAGACTCAATAACTGTTAACGTGTTTCCTTTGTCAGTGAAAGGAAGAGCCTGTCGTGGTCATGAAGTGAGATGAAAACGAAGGGCTACTTTGGCTACGTCTGTCAGAAGCCTCTGGTCTGTTTGGACCTCTGTAAGCCCTACTCTGATGTGTTGGACATGTTGTGGAGTTAACAGCTCTGCCCCTGTCTTCCAGGAAATTTATAGTTGAAGACATAAAAACCATGTGGCTTACACATGAAAGTCCAGACAGTTGTGCTATCATTTGATGAACGAACACAGAAGTACGGTAATGCTCAGTAGTTAATGTATATAAAGGGGTGTGTGTGTGTGTGTGTGTGTGTGTGTCTGCATGGGAAAGGGGTTAAATGCATTACTTGGCTTTCTCTATGTTGATATTTAAGTTAATGTGAGGTTTTTTTGGTGGAATTAATGCTGTGTAAGTGATGCGTTAACATGCTTGGAGCATTCACACGAGGATCTTGGAGGAGGTAGAGTTTGCATTAGGTTTGCATGAAGGAGTGGAATGTCTTTTTAAGTCTTCAGACAGTAGTTTATTGCCTCAGTCAAACCACTGCTAATATTTTTTTTCCTTACAGCTTTGTTAAGATATAATTTACATGCAATAAAATTCACCCAGTACAAGTCGACAGTTCAGTGATACTTGTCATGGTTACAACATTGTGCAGTCTTTAACACAATCCAGCTTTAGAACATATCCATTATCCCCAGAGTTTCCCTGAACTTGTTGGTAGTCAGTCATTAACTCTCATCGCTGGCCCCAGGCAACTGCTGGTCTGCTCTCTGGCTCTTTACATTTGCCTCTTCTGGACATTAATATAATAGGATCCTACAATTTGTGGTATTTTATGCCTGCTTCTTTTAATTAGCATAATGTTTGAGATTCCTCTATATTATAGCATGTTTCAGGATTTTTGTCATCCTTTATTGCTAAGTAATATTCTATCATATGAATGTATCACATTTGATTTATCCACCAATTGATGGATATATGGATGGTTTTTGTGTTTGGGCTATTATGAATAAGATCGTTGTAAGTAACCATGTCGAAGCCTTCAGTGAACTGGAGTGTTCCTAAAGGTCACTGGACCAAACTGGTTGTTCAAGTCTGTTTTGCCTGATACGAGATTCCAGCTCTCTTAGGGTTACTGTTTGCATGGCACATCTTTCCCTACCCTTTTGTTCTGAAGCTACCGTTTGCCTCCTGTGGACAGCATGTTGTTGAAATGGGTCTTTTATCCAGTCTTAGAGTTTGTCTTTTCAGTGGGGTGTTTATTCGTTTCGCATTAATGTAATTATTGTTGTTGGACTTGTGTCTGCCATTTTTAAATTTTTAAAAATTAATTTTTATTTATTGGGGTGACATTGGTTAATAAGATCATGCAGGTTTCAAGTGTTACATTTCTGTGGTACGTGTTCTGCATATTGCATTGTGGGCCCACCACCTAAAGGCGAGTCATCTTTCATCACCATATATTTGGCCCCCCTTTACCTTTTACCACCTCCCCGACCATCTTCATGTGGCTGTGAGTTTCAGTTTTATATGCCACATATGAATGACATCATATGGTTCTTAGCTTTTTCTGACTGACTTCACTTAGCATAATATTCTTAAGGTCCATGTATGTTGTTGCAAATGGCAATATTTCATCTTTTCTTAGTATTCTGTAGTATATGTACCGCATCTTCTTTATCCAGTCCTTTATTGAAGAACACGTTGGTTGTCTCCATGTCTTGGCCACCGTGAATAACGCTGCATTGAACATAGGGGTGCATTATTTTTGTGAATAAATGTTTTTAAACTTTCCCGGTAGATACCCAGAAGAGGGATTTCTAGGTCATATGGTAACTCTATTCTCAATTTTTTGAGGAACTGCCATAGTGTTTTCCATAGTGGCTGTACCAGTTTACATTCCTACCACCTCTCCAGCACTTGTTATTACCTGTCTTGTTGGTAATAGCTATTCTAACAGCTATGAGGTGGTATCTTCTGGTAGTTTTGATTTGCATTTCCCTATTAGCTAGTGAAGTTGACCATCTTTTTCACATATGTCTTGGCCATTTGTCTTTGAGCAGTTTGAATACTCTGTATTTAGGGGTGGATCTTTTTATCCCATTTGGAGTTTTGTTGAACTTCTTGGATATGGAGCTGAGTTGTTTTGGTTTTTATCAAATTTGGGCAGTTGTAGGCCATTATTTTTGAAATATTTTTTGCCACTTCTTCCTCTTCTCCCATTACAAATACGTTGGTATACTTGAGGTTGTTTTACAGCTCTCTGAGGCTCTGTTCATTTTTCTTTGATCTTTTTTTCCCTGTGTTCCTGGGATTGCTTAAATTCCATTGAGCTATCATCTGCTCTACGATTTTTTCTTGTGCTAGCTCAAATTTGCTGTTGAACCTCTCTAGTTATTTTTAAATTTTATTTATTGTACTTCTCAACTCTGGAATTTCCATTTGGTACTTTTTTTATACTTAATATCTCTATCGAGATGCTTTATTTGTTGAGTTATCATTGTCATACTGTAATGTTTTAAACATGGCTTTCTTCAGTTCTTTAAATTTACATATTCATATAATGGCTGTTTTGGAGTCTTAACCTGTTAAATCCAACATTTGGAGACACTTGAGACAGTTTCTATGGACTGCTTTTTCCCATGAGTTTGGGTCACACTTTCTTGTTTCTGTTCATGACTCCAAGTTTTTGCTGGTATTTTATATTAAAGATAATAGAATTTAGCAATTCTGGATTCTGATTTTTCTTGCTCCTGAGTTGTTATTTTTGTTGTTATTTTGTTTAATAACTTGCCTGAAATAACTCTTTGAAGGCTGTCTTGCCCATATTGCATGACTGCTGATGTCTATTCAAGTTTGGTTTTTGTTTGCATGTTTTCTTGTTGCTTTTAAGCTTAGCTCCCTAGGAGTTTCCCTTGAGGAAGCATAGTTTCATGTTTGGCCAAAGATTGATCAGAGGTTGACCTCAAGTCACTAAATCTTTCACTATCTGCTAATGGATCTGTGTGGGTATGGGGAGCACCTTCAAATTTCAGGCACTTTTCATGTCTGCTGTGGCTTTTACATTCAGCTGGACACCCTTGCATCTTTGTGTATGTGTAGGTGTGATTTCTGTTAGCAAGGGATGTGTAGGTGGTATGAGCCCACTCTGGTGTCTGTGACGCATGTGCAGCATCTCTGGTCAACCTGGGATATCTGTAGTGAGTGTATCAAGGGCACTGTGGTTGTCTCACCTCCCAGAGAGAACTCCTTGGTAAAACTTTGCCAGTTGCTCGTTTCTTCCTTCCCCCTAACAAGACAAAACTCAAAAACATCCAGTTCAGCACTCTGGAAATCAACCAAAGCTATACACAAACTGAGATGTGTTTCTCCATGTAAAGAACTGAACTTCAAGTAAGATCAGCACAGAAGTTCAGGTCAGGTTAGCAGAGCCTCAAGCCTTTGTGTTTTCTTACTGGTGGAATTGCCACTTTAAGGGACAGGACTCCATTTCTAGTGAGCCTGGCCTGGTAGTAGCTGTGAAGCTGTTGTTTTTCTTAGCTCATCTCTCTCAGTTGAACTATTGCTCTGATGGAGCTGGTGGCAAGGGGTTGGAAGCAGTCTCAAGCAGAAATGCCATAGGCTTTGTGCTGTGCTGATCTTACTTGAAGGTCAGTAATTTTCACAAAGAAACACATCTCAGTTTGTGTATGGCTTTGATTGATTTCCAGAGTCCTGAACTGGATGTTTCTGAGTTTTGTCTAGCTTCTTAAGTTCTGTTTTACAGAGGTTTTTCAACATTTTTTTTGTCATTGCTACATTTTCTCTGCAGGTGTTCTGAGCGTCTCTGGGTGGCAGGCACCATCTTGGGCCTTGAAAACATCAAGTTGCATGATATATTTTGACAAGATTACTTAGGGCTGCTCATAGAAACCCATTATTTTGGTTGAAAATCTAGGTTACTGTTTAAAAGATACAAAACGAGATGATTGTGCTTTTAGCATATGTTGCAGCCATTCTTTATTTTAAACCCATACTACTCATACAACCATAAGTCCACTGATAACTTTTATATCTAAGCTTCTATCACTTAAAGTGTGGTTTAGTTGGGGGTGAGGAAAGCAAGGGCTTTGGAGTTTGGCTTTGTGGAATTGGAATTGAATCTTGATTCTCCGACTGACTAGATCTGTCATTTACAGAAGGTTATTTTATCCCTCTGAGCCTATGTTTCCTCACCTTAAATTGTGAATGATATCTACCTGATGACTTACTGTGAAGAGTAAATATAACATAGATACAGCATCTGGCATGTAGTAGGCATTCAGTCAATGCTAGTGTACCCACCCAACACACTGTGGTTGGGAATATAATTTGGTAACTTTTTCTTTATCAGATTCTCTACTTCTTGCTTTACCGAGTTTTACTTTTTTTTTTTTTCTTTTTAGAATAATGTTGGTACTTTATACAGTAATTGAAGCATATACTGTATTTTTGTCAGAGTACATTTTGGTTCAGTGCGCTTTCCAGATACCCAAATGTTCCCAATATTTCCTAGTGATAAAATCTGAATTTTATGTGCTTATAAGTGACAATGAAACATTTATGGCCACTTTATGATGAATGAGCTCATATTTACAGCAGATCCTAGAATAAAGTTGTTTTTGTTACAATGCTGATGAGTTGCTGTAGGGACTTAATTCCTGTTTATATCAATTAGCCTGTGATAACATTGGTTTGTTATTTATTCGAAACTGTTGATAACTTTAAGTGAGGATTTACTATGTATAAGATTATCTTATGGGGAGGCTTATGAAATGAAAGAAGATAGTTCATTATATCAGCAATTCAGGACATAATTAGAAGGGTCAAAACAAGGTCTCCTGTAGAGATACCTTTTTTTTTTTTTTTTAACACTCTTTAAGTCTGTACAATGGCATGTCTCAGAGAGGAGAGAGCACTGGAATAGGTTAGATTTTGTTGCTACAGCAAGCTCAAATTGTGTCAGACAGTTTTGATCATCTGCCACGGAGTGTTGCTTGCGATAGAGATAAAGACTTTTATAGGACATTTTTTTGGATCTTGCTCTACCAGAGCTCACTCTGTTCAGCCTTAGACACTGTCTCATGATATTTATTTATCAGCCTCATCCGAGGACATGTTTCCATTGATTTTCCTCCTCTCCTCTCCTCTCCCTCTCCCTCTCCCTCTCCCTCTCCTCTCTCCTCTCCCTCTCCCTCTCCCTCTCTTCTCCCTCTCTCTCTCCCTCTCCTCTCTCTCTCCTTTCCCTTTCCTTTCCCTATGAGAGGAAAGGAGGGAAACATTGTTTGGTTTCCTCCTGTATGTGCCCCAGCTAGGGATTGAACCCACAACCTAGATATGTGCCCAGATCGGGAATCGAATGCATGAAACAATGCTCCAACTGAGCCATGTGGCCAGGGCTGTCCTCTGATGCTGAAGTTAATATGGAGGAACTGTTAACTTTGGTTACTTCAGGTTTTAATGTTATTTTTGGTTTTAGAGAGGATATAATTAGACTATGGCACATCCTGATCCTCTTAATAACCATACTTTTATATGATTTGTAGAACTCAGAAGTTAACAATTTCTTCTATGGAACTTTAGCAAGTACTTTATGCCAGAATCGTTTATAATGCTTTTTATTAAATTTTTAAACATTAAATTTCTACACACTGCCTCTTCTTTTTGGAAGTCTTTAATTTCTCCTGAAGAAAGTGTTTGTTATGGATATTGTGTTTATCAAGAGTAATTCTTGAAAATAAAGTTCTTGATAGCTATTAATTTCACAATATTGACATTGCAGAATCTAGACATACAGGAAATCAGGATTCAGAGTTCCTTCATCATGCAGTGAAATCAGGAAGTTGCTGGTTACGTGGGTGATGAGATTATGCAGACATTTAATAGTCACCTGGCACTTGGAGTTGCAGCCCTGTGCTGTCTGGAATGGTGTCTCATTTAACAACTCACACATATCCTAATAAACATGATATGACCTAAGTTCCACAGTGAAATAATGGATTTTGTAAACATTAAATGGCCTTTTAGCATCTGCATTTGTTGCAAGAATGAAGTGTGGGGTTATATGAATGTTATTTCTATGAAAACACTGATACAAGTGTGTCTTTTGAGATGGGTCTATAGTATGTTTATAAAAATGGTTACTTTTTCCCCCTGAGGCTTTAAAAACCATATTTTTGGCAGTGGTACCTATGATAAATTTTTAAGGAGGTATTTATTAAATGAAGTAAGGTTTTAGACTTTTTATTTTGGGTAGATTGGATTTTTTTCTGTGTGCTCAGGAAAACCATGCAAGGCCTGATTTGAGTTCCATGGAGGATGCCAAAGTGACTCTGGCAGAAATGCCAGCCTCCAGGGCCCTGCAGTTCAATAGGAGTGGTAAGACAAGCTCCTGACCATAGCAAGTGCAAAGTGAGAAGTGCCGTGGGGCAACTAGAGCTGCCAGGAGAGACTGGGAAAGGACGTAGTGCTTCCTAGTTTGATGGGAAAGCTACTCCAAACCCCAAGCATCCTCTTTAATTTCTTTGAGTCCCCATTTTAGAGCATAAAATGTATACAGACACACATATATACATGTAATATTTCTGATTTCCTTTAATTATGGGAGCCTGAAAGAGAAGAAAGAGGAATTCAGTGGTGAGAGGCTTGGCCAAGGAGAGTAGCTTTGACATTTGGTGTGGTTTCTGCACTTGAGGATTAGGCCAGGCTCCATGTGGCATCTGACCTGACTCGTCACTGGAAACACCCTGTAACTGCAGGACCTCAACAGAAATATTCTAGAAAAACACACTAGTAAGCTCAGGCACTGGACGCATTTGATTTGGGAAAAATACCATTTGTGTGAATCAAGACCTTGCTACCAAATGTATGAAGAACTACTGACACCTCATGGATGTTGGTATTATTATTTTTAGCTATATAAAGCATGTAAGCCTATATAGCAGAGTCTGTCTGTGTATGAGTACATACGCTTCTATGGCCTTGATTCATATTGACCTGTGAGTTTAATCTGTAACAGAGAAAACTATTCATTATATTTCCAAGTTCTTTGAAAGATAAAGTTGGAGTGTGTCCAGTTGAACGGCTAAATTTTTCCAATAGTATTCATATTTGTTCTATAGAATTCTGCCAGTAGGACTTAGTGAAAGTGAAATTAAGGTAGCATTAAATCATTATCATTTTCAAGTTTATATACATTACTGTTTTAGGGAAAAAATTATCATGCTTTTCTTTTTTAATGCAATAATAAGAATAGTTCAGAGAAATGGAGTGTCAGGACCCAATGACAGGTAAATCTAAATGAATCTAATTATAGTGAAAAATTGCATATAGTTTATTTTATTTTTCATGTATTCTTTGTTTTATGGTCTTGTTTGAATTTCAGCAAAGTTGGTTGTTTCCAAAATCTATTTCTAATGTGAGTTCTATTTTTTAACATTTACAATTTTGGAATTATTCTTATACATACCTAAACACACACATAAACAAGGAAGTCTCATTTAAAAACAATGTTGGGCCCTGGCTGATGTGGCTCAGTTGCTTGGATGTTGTCCTGCGAAATGGAAGGTCAAGAGTTTGATTCCTAGTCAGGGCACATGTTGCCGTTTGGTTCCTGGTAGGACACGAACAAAAAGGTATCAATCAATGTTTCTTTCTCACATCCATGTTTCTCTCTGTCTTCCTCTTCCTCTCTTCACCTCTCTCAAAAAAAAAAAAAACCAACAAAAAAAAAAAAAGGAAAAAAAAAGTTGAAGACAATGTTGGGATTAACTGTGAGTAAGTGTTTGGGGGGTAAAATACTGAAATTTTTTACTCCTCAAATCAAACTACATTTTAAAGAGTAGGTATATAGAAAAATTAAAATATAGGAAGAAAAGTAGAAAATATACAAGAACATTCAGACCCCTGGAGAGATTACACCTCTGAGGTTTTGAGAATTAGAATACAGGTATAAAAATGTATCTCAGAGCTGAAAGACAAAGTTAATATTAAAAAGGTAGCTTATTCTAATATAAAAGAAATAATAGATAAAGGAAATTACAAATGATCAAATAATATGTTGAAAAATTACTGTCAGTAACAAAATGTAAAAATGGGAACACTGTGGAGATAATTTTTGTTTACCAATGCATTTGATACTTATTTTAAAACCCAATTCTCATGAGGTTGTGTGGAACAGATGTAGTCATTTGTTGTTGATGACATGGTGGAGCTTTATACCTGCGTATTAAATCCCTTTAAACAAACCTCTTTATCCAAATGCTTTATTTCTTGAAACTTATTCCAAAGAAATTATTAGAGGCGAAATGATATTGCCCAGAGATACGTATTTTAGTGTTATCTTTAATAGTAAAGTAGCGGAAGTGACTTGAATGCTCTTTAAATTAGAATAGTAAGTTGATCCACTATACCAACAGACTTTTAAAATGATAGTTTTTGAGATCCTGTGAAAGCACGAAAAATGATTGCTGAATGTAAAATATGGTGCAGTATAGAATACATTCTTACATGGTCTTTGTAGAAATGCCTTTGTTGGGGTGATGGCAATATGAAACCTTTAAATTATTTCAGACATTGATTGAGCGTTGTTAAGTGACTCTTCAGTTCAATTCATCAGGCTGTGTTCTGGGCACTGCACAGAGCCCAGGGATGCAAAGCTTCTTAGGTGATTCTATATGATGGTGCAGATGGACACTTAAACAGCTAACACCATTTTAAAAGAGTGGCTCTCCAGAGAAGATGTGTGAGCCGGGTCTTAGAGAGTGATTAGGTGTTGGCCAGATCACCTGGGAGGACCATCTGAGTAAAGTCAAGAGTGTGAATAAAGGCATGATGTGTGAGTTGTGGGGGATGTGGTTTATAAGCACCTTCTTATTCCCAGGGTGAATTCCCAGTGAGGAGCAGTGTCGGGTCACAGAGTGGGTGGGGTGGGTGTGTATGTCACTGGAAGGATGGAAAAAGACTGCCTCGTTTTCATCCCATCCAGCTTTTCTTCTTTCAGAGTACAGTATACATTATTTTTTCTGGTTGGTTGAGCTCCATTCTCATAGTTGTTGAACATACCTGGTTGTCTGGCTATTCATCAAACTCAAATGAAGTGCACAGAATCAAAACATACTTGTCTGTTTAAATTTCTTTGTGTATTTGCTATTATGGTCATTCATATATTGATTAGTGATGATTTTCTTGAGGCTGTATGTGAATCATTGGCAGAAATTAAATTTTCTGACTGCTGATACATGAAACTATAGTCCCTTCTGCATTTTTCTGTTGAGCTGTAGGTTATGGCTGAATTCTGAATGTACAGGATGGGATAAAGTAGATTTAAAGTAGTGAATATGTGAAACGGTTTATTCCTGTGTTATTATTTATTGGTTATCATATTATTTTCCATATGAACAACTGTAAGCCTACTTTTGCCCCACCCTGTATTTTTGGATAATATAGTTTTATGTGGTTGGAAAACAAGTTGTATTGTTGGATATTAAAGGAAAGTATTCTGTGTATGTAATAGGTTGTAGTAGTGTTTTTTTTAATTCTTCATCATAAAATCTAAATGATAAATTCTACCATTTATTGTTGCTTCTTTAAAGCATACTGTGTAGGAACAGTTAAGAACATGGTGTATCTCTTAAGACATTAATGTATGCAGAGTCCCTATGTTTTCATGTTTATCTATTGATGATTTAAGGCAAGTAACAGTAGTTAGTGCTATATTAGATATTATTTAATGTTTTCATAAAGAAGCATAGCTATCACAATTTCTCAGATGTATTTTTTAAATGTTTGAGGACTATATTTTGGTGTAATTGGTTTTCTTTTTTTTATCCTATGTGTTTTAGGCATTTAAAAGCACTCCTTGAAGAGGTCTATTGGTTTTACTAGATTGTAGACATATATAACATATGCAAAAAGTTAAGAACACCTCTCCCCCTGCCCCATCCCTCAAACCACAAAGCCAGGAAAGGAACAGACCAGGATGAACTTTAGAAATGAACA